ATCTATCTATCTATCTATCTATCTATCTATCTATCTATCTATCTATCTATCTATCTATCTATCTATCTATACATCTATCTATCTATACATCTATCTATCTATCTATCTATACATCTATCTATCTATACATCTATACATACATACACACAAATTAATCATTCATCATATTTCTTCAAGGCAATTGTCCTAAAGGAATTCCAAATTCTGGTGGAATTGACAGAAAGACACAACTTTAAGGCCGGAAGTTGGAAAAATGAATAATTAACATTATTTTCACCTTGTTTTAGTTTTGATGCTTTTTTACATTTGCAGAAAAACTGCTAAAACTTGTAATTTCTCTTTACTGTGGGTATAAAATCCAAAGAATTTACATTTTGCATTATGTTTGTTCAAAGCTTCAAGGAGCCGCAGACCAAGGACCAAAGAGCCGTGTGCGGCCCCAGAGCCGCAGGTTGCAGAGCCCTGGTCTAGACCATATTCATGAATAAAATGTGATGTGTTGATTAAATTTCTGCAACTGTTGGCACATTGGTGAAGCAGCTTGAGCTGTTGCCAAAGGTGCAAGAAGGTCTAGTTCTATACTTAGTTGCAGGCTTTCTGTGTGCAGTTCACGTTCTCCTCATACATGCATACATTCTCCTTCCTCTCAAAGACAAAAACACCAAAAACCCTACATGTTGGGTTGATTGCTGTTTTGTGTCTGTTTCTGACTAATATTCCATGTTTTATTTTTCTGTGGGTTTTCAAAACCAGATCATTGCACGTATAAGTCAACTGATCAGAAACAATAACTGATTAGATACAAGAGTGTTTCCTGCATCCAGACCAGGAAGAAGGGAGGACACTTCACTGCATGCAGCCTCAATGGCTAAACTCGTGGGAGGCCTCCCCTCCACCCTCTGCATAAAAGACGAGCTGCAGAGACAAACAGCATCACTCTGAGCAGAAATTTTCAAAGACACAGGTATCAACTCAATATTTTAACCTGTTTCTTTTGAATGCATTTTGACTGTGATTTTATTTTTCAGGGATGCTTTTCTCTGTTCTTCTTGTGCTGGGCGTCAGCCTGGTGCCCATTCACCCCAAACTTATTGGTAAATCCTTCCTTTCTACATGTTTGCTTGTTTTATTTATTTAAATTCTTACATTTCTAATCCTACTTTGAAGGGGGGAATCTTGGCAGTCCTTTTCTTCACCAATGCTTTGAGGAGGCAAAGAAAATAGTAGACGATGCGTACAAATACTCCAGAGAAGAGTAAGTTCACTACATCACATCCATCATATTTATAGAGATCAGTTTCATTTAAAAAGTCATAAAGTTTGAAAGTAAAAATAGCACAAATGATCCTTAAAGGTCACTGGTTCAGATTTTCTTGTTCAACATTTTGATCTCCAGGAGTCTGAGACGGGTCCGCAAAGATGTGGTGCAACCCCATGACGCTCTTCGTCTCCTGAAGCAGCCCCGGGGTGACACTCGCTCAGCTGTTCGCTCTGCAGACTACATGGTGCAAACCCTTCGTCTGGTCCATGACAAGGTCCATCGTGTGCATAAACGTTCTCTGAACGCAACAGGTCAGACATGAAGCATTGTTTTTGTGTCTTTCTCGTCTCTGAATAAAGTGTACTGGTCCAATGTCATGGCTCAAAGCTACATTTAATTAAGGCTAATGTAAATTCTTGAACTGTGTCTTTTAGATTTGCTCTCTGGAGAAGACCTGATAAAACTTGCACAGTTAACTGGGTGTGCGACTCGAGTCAGTCTTCCAAACTGTGGCACCACACCAAACCTGAACAAGTATCGCACAGCCACCAGCGTCTGCAACAACCTGTCAGTTTCCTTTAATTTTTAAATTCCAAATTGTATTTTTTTCCCCAGTATTTGAACTTCAAATTTTATATGATGCCTCCCCTCTCTGCTATTTGCCACCAGAGTAACAGACTTTTATTTATTTATTTTTTTTTTACATTTTTTTTTTTTTTAAATGGTCTTGATTTACATTTTTGTTTCAGAAGGTCTCTCTGGACTTTCGTACCTGATTATTTTCAGAGGAAAACCTTTAAAATGTCTTCTTTTTGGGGGTAAAATGAATAAATAAATAGCTTATTTCCACCAAAGTAGCTGAATGAAACTCAATAAGCTGAACTTACTTTCAAAAGAAGTTCTTGTGAAATGCACCTGAACATCTTGAGCCATAAACCACAAAAGATGTGTTCACTTCTGGGGGGGATTTCTCAAGCAGAGCTCAAACAGGAATATTTCTCATTTCTTTCAGAAAAAGCCCTCGTCTCGGAGCCTCCAACACCCCCTTCACCCGCTGGCGGCCGGCTGAGTACGACGACGGCATCTCCCAACCCAAAGGATGGAACAGAAACCGACGATTCAACAACTTTGTGCTCCCACTGGTACAGTATATCCCCGATTCTGACTGCTAAACATGAGTCTTTATTTGGATCTGATAAAGCATTCTTCTCCATTCTCAGGTGCGACAGGTGTCCAACAACATTTTAAGCACAACAGATGCCGACGTTGTCAGCGACAGAGATTTCACTCACATGGTGACCTTTTTCGGCCAGTGGAACGATCACGACCTCACCTTCACGCCCTTCTCGCCCAGCATCCGCTCTTTCAGCAACGGCGTGAACTGCGATGAGAGCTGCGAGCAAACCGAGCCGTGCACCCCCATCCCGGTTGGTTTCAAAACTCGGATGTGTAAAACGTTATTTCCACCCTTCCTAAATGTCTCATTCTCCCTCTTACTGTCTGCAAACAGATCCCTCCTGGCGACCCCCGCCTGCCTTCCCGCCCTGACAGCTGCCTCCCTGCCTTTAGGTCTGCCCCTGCTTGTGGAACGGGATACTCTGCGTATAATTTTGGTGGGGAGCCCAACAGGAGAGAGCAAATCAACGCCCTGACAGCCTTCCTGGACCTGGGGCAGGTGTATGGATCCGAGGAAAAGCTTGCACTGAGTCTTCGTAACCTCACTAGTGATGGTGGCCTGCTCGCTGTCAACACAGAGTTCAGGGATAACGGCCGAGAGCTGCTGCCCTTCCACCCTATGCAGGTGCAAATGTGTGCAACTCGCAAGAGAGTGACCAACGACAACAATGCCAGAGAGGTGCCCTGTTTCATTGCAGGTGAGCTTTACAAGACATATTCATTAAAATGTAAAACATTTTGTACGTGAGCTTGGTGTAATTTTTCTTTTTCTGAGCAGGTGATGTGCGCGTGGATGAAAACACCGCCCTGACTTCCATCCATACTTTGTTTGTACGTGAGCACAACCGTCTGGCTCGTGAGCTGAAGAGAATGAACCCCCAATGGGACAGTGAGACCATCTACCAGGAGGCCCGCAAGATCATGGGAGCTTACACGCAGGTAGACAACCAAGCGTTAGCATGTCGTTTCGTTAAAACCTGCCCCACTTCCTAGAGCTGTCATTTTTAACCCGGGCCCCAGCCTGACCTGAATTCAGCTAGGGCTGTGATAATGTGCTGGATGAGTGAGCCGCGTCGGTGTTGGGCTTTTGATTGCGTCAGCGAACACGCACAGCTGACAATCCAAATATATGGCAACGTGGTTTGCCATACATTCATCAGCCGCACTAGGCCATTTGACCGCGCGCTGACTGGCCTTGAAAGAAGTAAAAATAAAAGTTAATTTAATCTTCAGATGAGACTATACTGCCACTATACTGTGGACGTTCAGCCGCTGCACTCAGCGGATGACCCAAACAGGTGAAATCCCAAAATATCCTTCCAGGCATGTCAGAGCATGGTCCATGTCTGAATAATGCAGAATGCAGGCAGAAGCAGGGATTTAATGCTCTTTGATGGCCATGAAAGGACAAACACCTCCTCATCTCCGAGCTTCTTCCCCTTTTACTCAGCCGCACATGTCCACCGACTGTTAATAACTATATAAGCAGTCAAAGCTTAATTAAAAATGTCAGAGTTGGGGTGGGGTTAAGACCTGTAATTATTGTTAATTCATCGGGTTGGGTGGGGCTCGGAAATGATGGCTACGGGCTGGGACCAGTTCGGATTTTGGGGCCCGAATGCAACTCTACCACTTCCTCATTTGACATCTGTTTGTCCCTCAGGTGTTTGTGTTTAGGGACTATCTGCCACACATCGTTGGTGACGAAGCAATGCGCAGACAGCTCGGCCCTTACCCAGGCTACAACCCCAATGTTGACCCCAGCATCGCCAACGTCTTTGCAACCGCTGCTTACCGCTTTGCCCACTTGGCAATCCAGCCAGTTTTGTCCCGACTGGATGAAAACTACAGAGAGCACCCTCGCTTCCCGAGTGTCCCCCTGTTCAAGGCCTTCTTCACCCCCTGGAGGGTCGTCTTCGAGGGTGAGCTGCACAAAGGCAAGCTGGAATTATGTCTTGAAATGTCTCCCTTATGGTTTCCTGTCTTGTTCCAGGTGGGATTGATACATTCCTGCGTGGTCTAATCGCCCGTCCGGCTAAACTGAACACCCAGGATCACATGTTGGTCAACGCTCTGAGGGAGAGGTTGTTCCAGTTTGTACAACGTCTGACTCTGGATCTGGGCTCTCTCAACATGCAGCGCAGTCGTGATCATGGCCTGCCTGGTACCCACCTCACATGTCTCCACCCTTCTCCTTCGAATATCTCCTTTCCCTCATATTTGACCTCATTGTCTTTGCATACGGTTGACTCCTCCAGGCTACAACGAGTGGCGCAGGTTCTGTGGTCTGTCCCAGCCTCGTAACCAGGCAGAGCTGGGTCAGGTCCTGAACAACAACAACCTGGCCAGCAAACTGCTGCAGCTCTACGGTACGCCCGACAACATAGACGTGTGGCTTGGAGGCGTTGCAGAGCCATTTGTGGGCGGCGGCCGTGTGGGGCCTCTGTTTTCTTGCCTCATTGCAACCCAGTTCCAGAGGATCCGCCAGGGTGACAGGTACCTGCAATAAATATCAAACAGGCTCAGAAGTTTTCTGGAAAATCGTTGCTTGATGCACCGTTTAATTTCCATTCTTTGTTGCTTTATTTCTGATGGATTTTTGTGATGTATGAAATCCACCTTCAGCAAAAAGTTAGCATTTATTTAATGTCCTTTTGTCTACATTTCTGCTGTTTTATTTATGACCATTTCAGATTTTGGTACCAGAACCCGGGTGTCTTTACCTCCAGCCAGAGAGCTGCTGTTTCCTCTGCCACGTTGGCCAGAATCATCTGCGACAACACCGGCATCACATCTGTGCCCCGAGATGTTTTCAGCGTGGTCTCTAGCAGGAACCCGCAAGTGCAGTGTTCCAGCATCCCTCAGATGAGCCTGTCCGCCTGGAGGGAGAGACCCTCCTCCTTCGGTCAGGAAGCAAACTTTTACTCATTCAGTTCACTTGAGTTTGGCGTTGGATTCTTCTTTGTATGAAATGTGTACATATTGTTTGACATTACAGACTCTCCTGATCACCATTCAAAATCCAGTGAGGGAGAGGTCAGTTTTTGGCACCAGCTTTAAAGAAAAAACATAGAAAAAGTCTAGAAATTTGAAGTTTGACTTAATATTTTACGTTTATTGATCTACAGAATGTGGACCAGGTAGACAGTATGAAGCTGCAGGATCTTCTGAACCTCCAGAACAACAAGGTTTTCTATTAACTTCTTTTTTTGTTTGTTTCTTTTCACCCATTTTTATTTCCAGCTCACACAAAAGTTTGAGGTAAATCAAATGTCAGTTGGTAAT